GAAGATGATTCAAGTGTTGTTAGATTATATAGAGCAGCTACTAGCAGCACAGAAACAGTTGGAAGAATAAGAGCAGACTCCATTAGTGAATCAAATATTAGAATAACTGGTGATAATAGAGAAATTGATTTTGATGATGATGTAACAAACATTTTTATGGTATATCTCAGAACAAGTATGTAGCTGCATTTATTAATAATAAAAACAATTATTATTATTTTATAGATCCACCATACTGCTTTGAAAATGTTTTCACCGAAGCTGAAATTAATACAAACAGTCTATCAGTTACTAATGTAATACCAGTCAATGATACAAGAGCTTTTCCTGATATACAGTTCACATGTAATGGTATTATTACTAACTGGATAATTGGTATTACACAGAATCAGGATACAAGCAAACATTATCCTAACATTTATTTAAAATCATATTCTTCTGAACTGATTCATGCACTAACTGTTGATGCTTCTGCTGCTACATCAAGTAATGGTAATGTATATAACTTTACAAGTGATATTGAAGTACAGTATGGAGATATATTAGTAATCAATGTAACCACTAATAGTAATCCAATGTATTATCAACAATACAATGGGCCATTGAATTATCAGCTTGATAGCAGTAATGGCGGATTAATACCATTAGAGCATAATGACTATCCACTGATATCAGTTATAGTAGGTAAGATCATAAGGAATGTACTGAACTGTAAGTTTAAAATTGTACTTATTCTTTAGAGCCATTAACTGCTTTTGTAACTTCTACCCTTTTTTCCACTGCTATCACAAATACAATAATAAGTAAGCTTAATACCGCACCTCCCACAGTTCCTGGAATACTAAATTTCTACTACTAGCAACATATCATGCATTCTTTCATTAATCCAGGCTTTGCCTCATCAAGCATTTATGCAATCTACTCCACACCTGCTGTAACAATGGAATCAACAGAAGGTAAGCAAACATCTGCTACTTCATCAATGAGTAACATTCCAATAGTTACTTTTAGTGCATCAACAAGCTCAATGATGAGTACACCAGTTAGTACATTACAAAGTACAGGGAACAATACACTAATAATAGCAGGAAGTATTAGTACAGCAGTATTTATATTACTGGTAGTTACTATACTAGTAATATTAATAGTGAGTGTATTAGTGTGTAGGAGAAGATGGAATAAAACATCAAATGGAAATAATTCTTTCAGATCTGTTAAAAGGAAAGCTGATAAAGATCAACAATTAGATGGTATAGCATGCATAACACTAAATAATATAAGTTAATTTGTATAGGACTAAACCAAGAAAAACAGAATACACTAACAACATCAACTAATCCTGCTTATGGAGTTTCTGGTAAAAGTAAGAACTTTAAAATATAGTGTATAGTCCTGCTTAATATACTAAAATAAAATATTATTATATTTATTTATAGCATCTGGTGTATCTCCTAATCCTGCTTATGGTATTAACACTAGAAGAATAGAAAGTACATGCATGTATATTTATGATTATAATAGTAGAGTATGTTGATGTATATGTGGTGAACTATAGGTATTGATGAAGAATCATTAGTATATGATGAACCAAGAACAATGATGTATAATAAACAAGAGGTATATGTTAATACACTATTGTGATATTTAATTATTGCATAAGACAATTAGCTGTAGGTCATATTAAATCATTTATTAATATCTATAAGTTGCATCAAGAGTAAGATTTTTAATTAGTTAGTATGGGTATAATCATCATTCGGAATCCTACTTGCCACCATTGTTTGCATTAGATTTGATTGAA